CTTATGGAGTGCCAAGAAGTAAACATTGAAGTTAAGCATGTTAAAGAATTTCTCAATAATACATCTGAAGGAAATTTAAAAATTATTATAAGAAAGACAGTAACGATCATTATAGCTTAGATAAAAAAAACCTTCTTGAACTAAGTTGAGCCAAAAATATAAATACCTCAAAGACATGAAAATTCTTCAAGAGTATCAAGGGAAAACTCGACCTTATGAGTGACTTTGGCGTGGCGAAAAAAAATTCGACTAGTAGAATAATACCACTACTTAACACCTGCCTAAAGTATCTATAAGATGGGTGGATGAAAATACGGTTGGAAATTAGAGAATGGCGGAAGCATTAAATGGAGCGAGTAAAAGGATTAGAGCGATGTTGCCCGATAAATCTTGCAGTGAGCGATAGTTTAAAAACATTATAAACTATCATTCCTATATATTCAAAAGAGGAAGAAATTCAAGCTTGATAAAAAAATTAATGTTTTTTGAAGTATAATGGACACAATACGGCAAAATGCATAATGACAGAAAGCAATATTACATAATTTATGGATAAACAAGCTTACCGTTGGGCATAATCATAGTTGATACTGTCAGGAAAACCACCGCTACACCTATAGATCCATGGTAGAGGTTGTCTACCGTATCTCTGTTTGAACGCGCATAAGCGAAGTATAAAAGAAGTATCCATATTATGGCTAATAGAGTGACCGTGCGGGAATGATAAAGAATGTCAATTGTTATATTTTCAACTTTCTGTTGCTCTATTTTTTCTTTGAAATACTCCTTATCCAGCTCAGACTCAGAGAAAAGTCTGCGGCGCATCGTAGGAAGATCGCGCCAGGAGAAATGCCAAAGGTCGCGCTAGCTTGTGGATGTTGAAAACAACGCCTAATAAAAACTAAACAGGGGAGCATCATCAAATTATATAGCGACTATAGTTGCGTATATCTTAATTTGTTCTTTTTCATCCATAATAATAGAAATAATATAATACTGTTTTTGTAGATGAGATATACGCTAATATATAAATGATCAATGCTACTTAGTAAGGATCCATAAATTTATTTATAATATCAGAGAAGGCAGTAGAAGCTTCGCTTTTTTTCTAGTACTCTACTTTTATTTAATGTGCTTATGCATATTGATAAAACATTGACTCTGGAACCATTTCTCTGCTATCCTAATAAATATCACTTTTTGTGGAATTACGGATAATCTAAACGCCACTAAACACTACCTGTCCCTTTAATAACTTGTATTTTTGTGCTTCCTATGGCGCCTCTCACTAACGATGCCGGTGAAATGTTTTGGAACGTGTCCAGTCAATGGTAAAATGCTGGAACTTACGAATACTATGACAGAGGACACAAGACTAGGTACGTTCCACAAGGTCTCTATGACGCTCCGACTAAGTTGCGAAAACAAGTTCAAACCAGCACTAAACGCTAATAAGTTATCTATTTGCATCCAATTAAATTTGAACATAGAAGTTGTTTGACCTTGTTTTCGCAACTCGGTCATATTGGTAGGAAGACTTAGAGGAACGCACCTA